GTGAAATTGGAAAAATGTTGGAAAACTGTGAAAAACTTTCTATTGCTGCTTTTGACCTATTGAAACTGAATTACCCTCAATTCATCAAAATGATTTGAGCACCGACCAAACTTACCTTTTTGATATATGTAATGGAATTATGAAAGGAGATATACCGCTATCTTTGTCTCTCCGTAATCCTGGAAAAATGTCACATTCGCGCTGGATAACAACTGCTAACCGTATTCTTAGATTATATGTTGCTGTTCAAAATCCGTCAACGGCATTAAAAGTGTTAGCTCAGTATGTGATGAAGGTATATGCTCCTAGTTGGTTTGAAATAAAGCTGAAACCTACCAATAAAACAGGATCAAATCATTTTTTTGGAATTATTAAAAAGTGTCGTTATTTACCTGAAGAGTTAAAAAATTTATTAAATCCGGTTTTACAAAGAAATGCTTATTTTGCTCATCCGGAAAATATTCTGTTATCGATGTTGGCTGATGAACAAAAGCACATAAGGGAATTAGCTTTAAGGCGGATATTAAAATGCAGAGCTAATGATGCCACTCTAAATACTGTTCGAGTCTTCAAAGTTCCAAAGCTAAACTTTGATGCGATCAACTATTACGACATGATCGATTGGCATGCAACCGAGATCACAGAGCCACCCTTTACAAAAGATATCACAACTGAAGCTTTAGAACAGATGATAATGGATATTCCTAATAACATTGAATTTTTGAAGTTGCCTTGCCATACTCAGGCAGTAGAAAGAATGATAAAATTAGTTACAGAAGCGTCACTTTCAGTTTGTGGAGAAAAAGCAAGAGATGGCTTTATTCGTACTAAACTTGCATCTCAAAATGATATACCAAAATTTGAAACTAAAAAACACTTCATTATTTAAGTCTTTGATGTGAACTAGTAAACACTAATGTTTTGTTTTTCAAGATTTAAATGATTTATTTGAGTTAATAACATGTTTAATTTGATGATATTGTTTTGTTTACTTTTGAAATGCAATTCATAAACAGTCTCCAGCCGAGAGGAACCTCAAAACAATGTTCAATAAAATTCAAAATTTACACATTGAAATAACTGGATAAAAGACATATTTCCCAACCCCAGGAAAAGTAAAAAGAAGAAAAAAATTTTTTTATGTATAAATTCGCTCCACCCTAATGTATATATTACGTGTATTTATATAAATATATATATATATAAACACATACACATGCACACACATACACACACACACATACACACACATACATATATATATATATATATATATATATATACATTGCGTGCCGTAGATAAACTACATTGTTAAGCAAATATTTACGTATTGTACATATGGTAGATTGCAGCGATTGTTTTTAAAATGCAAACAAACAATAGAAAGGATTTATTTAAAGAAGAAAATTGTTGTTGATGCACTTATGTAATGTTTTAATTAATAATTGTAATGTTGCCCTCCAAAGTGGTGCAGATGTTGAGGTTGTGGTTGGCCGCAACATCTAGATGACAATCAACCGCTACTCGTGTGTTTTTTGATTGCCGGTTCACATTGCTTTATTTTTTATGAGCGGGTGTGATCGTATTAGCCTGAGGATGATCAGATGTTTATTGATAAAATATTTCGTTGACGATTAATATAACATTGTTTGAACGCCTAGTGCACTGGTTTTCAATGTTTGAACTCAAATATAATCCCACCAAAAGCTAGCAAACACAACGTTCTTTTGTTTGCTTTGTTCTTTTTTGAAAATTTGGCTGTTTTTCTCAATATCATTAAAATCTATTTTTTTACAGTTTTTAACTTCTTCAAAAAGCAAAGTCTATATCAAAAAAAGCACATTAGTTATAGGTACTGTCATATGTGACTATGAAAGTTCAGAACTGAAAAATTAAAATCAAATATGACCGTGCTGAAAGTTTAAATATAAAATCCAGTTTAACCAGACACGTGAATGCGATCGTATTTAGTTTACTTAATTATGCAGTGCCTTGCAGTTTTAGTTACAATGTTTTCAAAGAATCGAAGTTCCATCGCGTCCAACAGCGTGCAGAAGAATCGTTTATAATGGATCATATAGCTACATTATATATATATATATATATATATATATATATATATATATTTACAATATTCTATAAATTCTACCGAATGTTTGGCGTTAATATGTTTGTAGTTCGTTTTTTCAATTTTTCTCACTAAAGTTTTTTGGTAACTGGCCATTCAATTTGTTTATGAAACAGCTTAAAATATTTCATTCCGTGAAAGTTAAAAATCTTTTTACAATAATATTCTACAAAATTTGAAAAAAGAATACAATGCATTCCACATTTTCTTAAAAATATTAACCTTTAAAATATCATTTGCTGAAATCTCTCGCGAAACTGAGCTAAGTAATGTTTGTAGATTAAGATTAATGAATTCTTACGTGCAAATCTGTCAACACTTAATTATATTCAGTGATACTTTAAATGACTTATTTTCATCCAAACGGAAAATGCAGAAGAGGCATTCAAAATTATACAAAAAAATAAGATGATCTGATGGCTGGAAAATGTGTAAGATGTTGAAAATGGCGATAATGGCGATGATAGTGATGATGAAGATGATAAAAGAAAACTGATACAACTAGAACTGTATCCACCAATTATTGTCATAGCAGTCAAAGAATCAGAGGTGTAGCCATGAAAGAAAGCTTCTTTAGACCACCACACCGCATATTTTTATTGGGGTTAATTAGAGTTGAATGCTACAAAATCTCTCTAAATTTGATGAATTTTGATTTGAAATTGTTACTGTCCTTCACAGGCAGAACAACGTTTTGCCAGATTCAGATAAGAGTTCAAGTATTGATATGGGAATCATGGAACAAATGTAAAATAAGCAAAAGTAAAAAAATTCTAATTTCAACACAGGATATTTCCACCTATGACACTTCTAATTTGGCTAATGACTTGACGGGATTTCGTAATAATGTTTTTGTTTGATGGCAATTAATGGACAATTCTTACACTCTCACACACCACACACACACACGCGCGCACACACGCACACACACCACACAGTTAGGACAGCAACCTAACAAATCTTTCTGCCTGCCACATCTGGCAAACCGGAGTGACCTGCAGACCATCAATCCCATTCATCGGATTGCATGAATAAATTAAGATGAGTGGAGTTGGTGGGTAGTTCTGATCAAATTTCTCTGCGAAGATTCAAATAATGGCTATGCCTCGTGCAAGAAATAGCTGTCTGGCGACATTTTAAATAATTTCTTCTCTTGCAAACTCGTTATGTATAACAAATTATATTTTCACAATATATAAATGGATGCAGGAATAAATGAATGAATGAATGAATGAATGAATGAATGATTAAATGAATGATTGAATGAATGAATGAATGAATGAATGATTGAATGAATGAATGAATGAATGAATGAACGAATGATTGAATGAATGAATGAGTAAATGAATGAGTGACCGAATGAGTGAGTGAATGAATATAAAATTAGTTGGCAAAAAAACTTTAAAAAATTGATATTAAAAAAAGTCAGGAATAATATTTGCTGCGTAATCCCATTTTACATAAATTTATTTTGGTCTAATGGCGACGTTTAAATTACTTTCCCAATACAATCTTCATCAGTTAATGTTTTTCATCGTTTAAAGTCGGACAATTAATTTTATTTTTAAATCAATTTTGAAATAAAAAAATTATTTTTCATGAGATAACCTTTTAAAAATTTTAAATTATACATCTTAGTTAACTTTTATAAAATAATCATCCAAATGTTTTACAGAATTATCTCCATTTTGTTTTTATATCGCAAATTAAATTATCACTTGTTGACGTGCAATGGTTACACCGCTGGAATCATTAACTCGACATCATCATTATCGTCATCATACTCCAAATAATGACGTCACTATATCATCGTAACATTCAGTCGCGTTTGTAACACTCACTACCGGCGATATCATCTCACTATTCATGATTATATTTCTTATACGGATCATCATCCTCATCATCATCCTCATCCTCATCATCCTCATCATCCTCATCATCATCCTCATCCTCATCATCCTCATCATCCTCATCATCATCCTCATCCTCATCATCCTCATCATCCTCATCATCATCATCGTCGTCGTCACTAACAGTATTTTTGTCATCGTTACACACATTATCCTCGTCATCATCATTTTCATCACCAATATTGTCATCACCATGATCATCACCACCAATACTTTCATCATTATCATCGTCATCATCATCATCAATACCGTTGTCGTCATCATCATCGTCATCATCACCATCGTCATCGTCATCATCATCACAAGTGCCCAATCCATTCTCGTATAAAATTCCATTTAAAATATAGACACCCATGCGCCTTTGCCCAAGTAGACAAATATTGCTTTAAAAGTGGATTTGCGCAATTTCAATGCAATAATAAAATGTTATTTATGTAGCGCTGAATTTCTGCGACGCTATTCGTCGTGCACGTTTCCTTAGTACGAATGAACGTTTCGATTGTGTTGTTGAGCTGCGCATGTCTCCGAGCAATTTGCAAGTTCGGCAATTATGCGCCGGCCTTATAAGCAATTTTCTTTCATTTTATTTTCATTTATAGTTTCGTTATTGTTCCTACTACAACTTCTGCTGCCGTTGTCGTTGCAGCTGGTGTTGTTGTCGTTGTTACTATGGCTGTCGTTGTAACTGTTGCTGTTTTGCTGCTGCTGCTAGCCCAAGCGTAATGCCGTTCTACTCGTTAGCGTGACCATTTGCTGCTTTTCAATAAAGTATATATGACTTCAACATACTACTACTTTTTTTTTTTAAACTAATTCTCTGCAATAAATTCTGAAATGTCGTGCAAAAAAAATGCTTTTTAAATTCTAAAAATTTCATTGACACCTGCTTCATGTGTTATCACCAAACCAGTCCTCTAAATTTCCAAATTTGACCCTGAATTATAAGGAAGATGTGACGTCAAAATGCTCATCCAACTCCCAATCCAAGAAGTGCATGGTGCAAAGGGAGGATGCCACAGGGTGGTTCATTCGTGTTTAAATTCCGTGGCTAACCCAAAATTATAATTATAGGAAGCATTGAATTTATTTTGCGATCAATTTTGTAAAATGTTAATTTCTTTAGCAAGTACTTAATTGCTGCAAAAGGTCAATACACTCGATTTCTTAGAAGTTGTTCAAAGAAAAGTTATTGGCTCAATTGAAATAAAATAAATTATTTTCGTATAAAAAGTGCCAGAACATTCAACAATTTTTTTTATTACAAAACACTTTATGAAAGAAAAAAATAGTTGAATTTAGGAAAACTAAAAATTATTTTTAGGCGTCAGATAATTTTTTGAAGATTATAAATATAATCAACTGTATCAGCAACGCAATGATTGGAAGAGGAGGAACTCGTGTGACGTGGGAGCTGCTGTTGAGGACAGGAAATAAAATAATTAAATCAGTTTATTAAGGAGTTATAATTAATTCTTTCATGTTAACTACTCAGGCATGAAAGTTTTCCATTGAAGAAATTTTTTTTATCAATTTAAAAAGAAACAAATTAAAAAAATTTAACGTATAAACATCAGTTTTATTTCATTCATTATTTCATTAATTAGATACAATATTATTTATTTAAAAATATAAAATTTAAATTTTGTAGTTTAAACAGCGAAGGAAAGTATCCGATAAAACGAAAGTAACAAGAGACAGCAGAGTGTTCTTCAGACAAAATCGAAAAATTTCGTTGCAGTTCTTTTATGGAGTCTGCTGGAGTCATAAATTTTAAGTAAACAAAACCTCTGAAGTATAAATTGAATAACATTTTTAATTTGAATTTTTACAAACGTAAACTGTATGAAAAAATGAAAAGTCGTTGAAAAATGATTAAATCGAAGCTTGAACGAGAGATACGTTAGAAACAACGCATAAAGAAGGAGCCACATCGACCATTAAAAATATTTCAAGACGTTGAATGGAGTTAAAACAAATCATCGGAAAATCTTTTTGGCTCCATAATAATCAACATGATCTGCAAAACAGCAAATTACAACATCATCGATCGTGAGTTGGACAGATAGAAATGGATGTAGAATCAACAGCAAAGTCATCAATCATCAACAACAACAAAACATTCCGCAGACGAATGACGTGATTAACCGAATCAATAACGTGCACAACAACAAAATCAACTTCACCGGCTTTATAAATTTTGCCTACAACAAAAGCAACTACGAAAATACGAACAACTTCGTTTATAAAAACGTTATGAACAACAACGCCGGCCAAAACATTCCCACAAACATCGGCAACAATAATGACAAAGATAAAAATATGGAAGCCCACACCTTCCATAACTACGAATACTACTACACCCGGCACGAGCCTCAACTGCATACATTCCTCGTTCCATACTTCCTCAACAACCCGCCATCAAACTCAAACAATCATCAACATCCTCTTTTCTCTCACTACGCTCCACATCTCACCACCACCCCCATCACATCATCCAACTTCACCAGCACATCCTCCACATCATCCACCATCATCCTCACCTCTCTCTTGATGACGTCAATTATCATAGCGGCAGTGGCGGGTAACGTACTCGTGGTCATATCAGTCTTCACCTACAAGCCACTAAGGAGCGTCCAGAACTTCTACATCGTGTCGCTGGCGCTTTCTGATCTGCTGATCGCCGTGGTCGTCATGCCCTTTCACGTCTTGTACGGCCTGGAAGGTTGGTCACCCCACCCCATCCCACCCCACCAGCCCATTCTTGTTGTTTATCATTTTAATCGTTGCATCTCATTCCATAATAATGTCATTAAGGTTATTGATTGGAGCGCAGAAGGGTTGCGTGACTCTTGGTAATAATAATTTCGTCAAAGGTCCCACAGCCATTTATAATACTTATAAGTAATTACAAATCCATCTCTTTCTACCTTTGTTTGGTGAACATTCGCGAACGACATCAAAAGAAAATTACTCCAATAACATATTAATAAAAAAGTTGTTTTTCGTTCATCTTGAATGTTCACCAAATGTTCACCGAGCTATGTTTCAATCAGTTTTGTCCAAGAGATTTATTTTATTTAGCTTATTTGTATTTTTGCTCAAAAAATAATCTCAAAATAAAAAAATATTTAAAAATTTCAACGTGAATGGCAGGTGAAATTTGTACTGCAGTCTAATTAATTAACATATTTTTTCTTTTTTAAAAAAAAATCTTCTAAGGCACCCCATGGTGGCGGCATTTGTGGGAAGCAAAACGGGAAGAGATGTTGGTACCAGATGGTGGGAGGGCTGGCCATTATTTGCGTTTTAAGGGTCAGCATTGGAAATTATTTTAAAAATTTCAAATTCTTTCAAAAATTGGCTAAATTAATCGTACAGTTACATGGCTCTGGTTATTTTTAGACAAGGGAAAGTAGTAAAATTTCAAAAAGTTGCTGTTGCAGGTAACAAAAATGTTTGTGAAATCACAAATTGTTATGATCACGTTGTAAATGGCGTTGTTATGTTATAACATTAATTGAACAAATGATCATTGTTTGGCTAATTTAACTTGCTTGAACTTTAAACGATCTAAAAGTTGAACAGGATCCTCGCTTGTCACAGACATTCATAATTAACAAGACGAGCAATCATGTTAATTATGGACTATATGTACTGTACTGTGCATACATAGATCGTCAAACTTAACGTAAATAGAGAAAAAGATCTCTTAACTATTCTCTTAAAATTATTCAATTTTTAAGCATATTAAAATATTCATTATGTTTCCTTCAAAAATAAACTAAATAAAAAATACTAATTAAACAAAATAATTAATGAAAATATTATTAGTAATTAATTTTTTTTTCAATGTTAATATTTTGCAAAATTAGAATGGCGATGATTTCTTGGAAAAATATGAGAATCTATAAATATAGGATGGAGGGGATTAAATGGAATTTTTAAATGGCTACCTTTATACTTTTGCAAAAAAAAAATAAAATTTTTCAAAATGGTAATAATAAAATAATTAAGATATTAATATTTGACAGCATCCTTTATAATTTTGAATAATTCTGAATAGTTATGAATAATAAAATAATATAATTGTTTCAGGTAAGTGGTCATTCGGTCAAGCGATGTGCAACGTGTGGGTGACTTGCGACATCCTTATGTGCACCGCCTCCATACTCAACCTCTGTGCCATTGCTGTCGATCGGTGAGTACCAGTAATGATAATGATGCTTGGTGGTGATGCTTGGTGGTGATGCTTGGTGGGGATGGTGACGATGATGACGACGATGACGGTGATGATAGTGATGACGACGAGGAAATGATGATGATGATGATGATTACGATGATGATGATTACGATGACGTGAGGCTGGAGGGGATGACGATGAAAAGGATGATGATGATGATGATGATGGCGGTGATGATGATGATGATAGTGATGATGATGAGCAACTACTGTGACGTGATGACTACAAAACAGATTTTTTTTGAATTTCATATTTTTGGTACATTAACTTTTTTGACCTCATCACAACAATTTCTTTCTAGCCATATAAATAAGCGTTTTTTTTTCTTAATGTATTTATTTTAATTTTTTTTGAATGAAGGGTATTTGGTTTTTGTTTTTGAGCAAAGCTTTCTACAAGAAATTATTCTCTCAGACTAATTTTTCTTTGTTTTTTTATATAATCCTTTTTTAAATCTACAACTTTTGTTTTAGCTTTAACTATTGAATACAATAAAATACAAGAATACAAGAAAATACTCTCTCAATACAAGAAAAAATTTTGAAAGAATTTGATGTTGTAGTACAGTTGATACATACATGTGGCGATGTTGATATGCTGTTGTTGTTAACGTTGTTGTTGTTGTCTTTATGTTTTTGTTGTGTTGTTGTTGATGTTGCTGTTGTTTTCATGTTGTTGTTGTTAACGTTGTTGTTGTTGTCTCTATGTTGTTGTGTTGTTGTTGTTAATGTTGTCGAAGATGATGTAAATGCCTTATTGGCGATACTTTAATGTCATTGAGATATTGTTAGCCTATTTATGACTCCCATTTTTCATTGATAATATTTTTGTTTGAACCTCTTTTGAATAATAAATGTCAGTTGAATGATGTTCAGTCTATATTTATATAAAACATATTTATAAGATAAAAGTTTATAAGACATTTACATTTAATATTTGAGTTTGTATATTAATCATGAGGTTTTGTTGGTGGCTCAGTATAGACGATGTTAGCGCGTGGTTACTGTCAGTAATGCTATCATCTTTTAAAAGCCAGTTTTTCTTTTCAAAAATGAAAGTTTTAAAATAATGTTTTCAAAACCCTTTTACATAGATGTTTTTTATCAGGGGTGTCTTGTTTTTTGTTTGTAACTGTGTTAATTTTCATCATTAATCATGCAATTAATTTTAACTAATGCAATCAGTTTTAAAATTAATTTTAATTATTGAAACTAATTTTAAAATTAATTTTAGTAAATGCAATTAATTTTAAAATTAGTTTTAATTAATTCAATTAGTAAACGAATAGATGCGGCTTAATAACAATAAGTCTTGCAAAGTTTTTTTTCTGAAATACTTAATTTTCTAAAAATGAAAAAAATTGTCTGAGAAGAAATTGTTGAGCGGCAGCGACTCTAACGACAATGGTAACGCATAAAAAATTGAATGTCGTCGAGGAAGTGGCTACTGTAATGGCGTTCTTTTTCATTTTCCACCTCTTATTGCCCTTGTTTGGACGCACTCATTAATCAGGCAAGTCTGACTGCAGATTAATCACCAACGACATTTTCTCTATTTTTCAGATATTTGTTTGTTCTATTTATTGTCTTCCTCTTCTTCCTCTTTTTCCCCTTTCTCTTCTTCACCGTCATTTGCTTCCGTGTCATCTATCATTTAATTTTACGCTCAGTTGGCGAATGTTTAAAAATTTTAAATCTCGAAACAAATTAATCAGGCGTTACAGAGGTAAATTTTTACTTTTCTTTCTCCGATGGATTTCGAAATGGCAAAAATGTGCGTGGCATGTTTCCTTGATGGTACCGCTGTAAGTGATGCTTCGAACGTGCAACTGTCTTCAATGAGGTTTCATGCATTTTGAATGGCCCAGAGCAGTTTATTTAATTTATTTAATAATGTTGTGTTTAAAAAAATGTTGTTTTATTATGGTTATTATAAGTTTTTAAGCCCCTTGTGTTCTTTATTAATGTAGCCGATGTAGTATTAACGCTTGGACATCCATCAAAGTGCCGGGATTAATATCCACTTTGTTCGCTGGGTGTCAATGAAATTTATAAACGGTCAACACTTTGTTGGACAAAAAACGATGTCGCCAATTTTAAAAACAGTTTTTTAGTGTTTCCAAATTTGGGTTACATTAAAAAAATTTAATACAATTTTTTAAAATGAAAATTAAAAACATTTAAACTGTTTTGCCATGAATGTGTTCGCCAAGTTTAACTATATGCGACACGACGTTTTAAACTTCCAAAATAAATTTCCTTCATTGTTTGTTACATTGATCGAACATGAAGTACTTGTCATGTATGTGAAGTGAGATTAAATTTTTAGGCAAGTAATTTTGAAGGCGGACTTAGTTGCGAGGAGGGATTCGAAGGAGGAAGCTTGGTTTCGTGTGGGTTGCGTGCGATAAGAGTTTGATGCACTCCAATCATTAGTGCTGCAACGATGGAAAAGAAGACAACAAAAGAACAGATCGATCAACATCAGACCTCAGTTCAATTTGTTGGTTGCAACAAATTATGTTGCGTCGGAGGTTACTTTGGTAATCTTTAAAAATTTCATTACTATCACATCAATATATATCAAAACTCAAAACAGCAAATGACGTCTCTAAAGAGATATTGCTCAAATTGTTCGTTTCAACCAAGTGCGTTTTTAATTTAGTTAAATGCGAAGTTCATTTTTAAAGAGTGTATATTCAATCTGGACGACAAATAAGTTTTGAACGAGAAGATGGAGTTGATGCCATGTTATTAATGATGAAGCGATCAAACGTAGGAGGCAGGAGTAGGAAAGAAGTTCAAACCGCTGCTGCTGCTTCTGCTGCTGCTGCTCCTACTGCTCCTGTCAGTGTGACCCTTGCGTATGACACGAATTCATCATTGTAGAGTTTCAGGACGCTGATTTATGACAAACTTGTTCATTTTCATAGTTCAATCTAGAAAATTGTTTACACGGGACAGATAAAATTAATTGCAATAAAATATTTAATATAATTAATTGCAATAAAATATTTAATCTAATTAACAATTCAATTTATTGAGAATTTGGTTATCAATTCATCTAAGCAAAAATGTAATTAATTTGAATAAACATTTATGTGCTTTTGCTAAAAGATTTTCAGTTTACCAGGGCGTCGTTGTCATCTTAGCTGCTGTCACTGCAAGGCTTCATCCCAATTCAACAGCTTGCTTTTCAGATACTCATTTTAAGAAATACTAATTAATTACATTCAAGTTACATCCATATTACATTTACAATACATCCATGTAAAATCCATATCCATTTATTACATCCATGTTTAATCCATTCTGCTATCACCTCCTTCTCTCTGCCAACTGCTCACACAATTAAACGCCACAACGCAATCATTTTACTGCCATCAAACTCACTGAACACTAACAATATACAATACAAACGTTGTATATATTGTATATACGTTGTATATGTTATATATACGTTGTGTATGTTGTATATACGTTGTATATGCATTGTATATACGTTGTATATGCTGTATATAGGTTGTGCAGTGCATGTTAGTTTCCGGGGTTACGATCTACTGGAAGAATAACTTTGCGTACTAAACGATGCCATGTTGGTCGTGCCACACAACTGGATATTATCGCCACAGTCCTATTCCAACTGGCACCATGGTTATACGTTGCTCTGATGATGTTGTTAATTTTCCTAATAATTTTATTATTCTTTTTTGTTATATTTTTTGTTAAGTTTATTTTTTTATTCATTGTGTTTATTATTTTTATGAATCTGCTTGCATTGCCGTTGTCGTTGTTATCGTGTTGTTGTCGTTGTTACTGTTGGTGTTGTTGTTGTCACCGTTGATGTTGTTATTGCTGTTGTTGCCGTTATTGCTGCTGCCGTTGTTGCTGTTGTCGTTGTTACTGTTGATGTTGTTGTTGTTGTCGTTGTTACTGTTGATGTTGTTGTTGTTGTCGTTGTTGTTGTCGTGTTGTCGTTGTTGTGAGTGGAATGGAAATAAGCAGCGGTCGTCATCTATGACAATAAAACGAACATCGTTAGTTCCGCTTACGCGGACGAGAAAATTAACTGTAATGAATAAGGATGATAATTATGCCGGCGTCTAAGAAGGAGGTGATGATGGTGATGACGATGATGGTGGTGATGGTAATGATGATGATGATGGTGATGATGAGGGTGACGATGATGGTGGTGATGAGGGTGATGAGGATGACGATGATGAGTTTTATGACGGTGATGATGATGAATATGTTGATGAATCCGATGTTTTTCTTATTGAAGATGATCATGGAGTGAAACTGAAATTTTTTTTGAGTGATAACATTTCCATTGCCTCAGAATTTTTTGTGACCGTGTTGATCAGAAACAGGTTTTGGTGGATTGAGTTTTGAGAGGAAAATTGACCAGATGGGACGGATGATGATGCTAACGACGACGATGATGATGACGACGATGATGACGATGATGATGACGATGATGACGACGATGATGATGACGACGGCATACATGTGGGTGACAAATGATGATTGAATGTAATGGTAAAGAGGAAGATGATAAGGAGGATGATGAGGAAGATGAGGATGGAAATTATGAAAATTTTTCACGAGAACAAATGTTGCTAGATCGCCGATCTGACCAGCTAAAAATAATGACACGTGCATGCGATAGGAAGGCCATATGTGACGAGAGTAATGGCAATTTGATTGAACATTTTAAAAATGGTAGTGACAACAGCGGCCGCAAAAACGATGTAGTAGCCAAAATAACTAATCATATATATACTTCAAAATGTTCAGTCACGTAATCTTGATTGATTTGCCGCATTGAATTATTAGGCGGCGTGATGGCTCAATGGTTAAAAACGCCTGGTATTGCTGCTGCAGTGACTGCGTTCGAATACAAAGAGATCCTCGCCTATCGTATGCAATGTGTTTGATGCGTGGTTTTCACGCGTATTCATAT